AGAGAAGAGGTATCAAGTTATTAGTGTAAATATATGTGTGTGTATTCGTAATGGTATTGTTCTCGAGTCCATTGCAGATTGATCGTATATCAGCAATAGCAGCAAAGTACGTTGGGAAGCCAGTGGTGAGCTATCCTCTTCTTTCTCTCCTATGACTCCTCCTCGACCACCGAATTTGGTTCACAAGCCGGCTCCGGTGAGATGTATAGTGGCGGGGAACTCTTCGGTCGATAAATGCACCTGCCGAGGCCGATAAGCCAATGATTATCGAGCTTGCGGTTGCAGCAATGGAGGAACTCGTTAGAATGGCTCAGATGGTGAACCCTTATGGATGGCCAGTCTTGATGGCTCACCTCTGTGCTTAATGAAGAAGAGTATGTTAGAACTTTTCCTAGGGAATGGGGCCGAAGCCTACCAGCTTCAAATGTGAAGCTTCGAAAGAAACTTGTGTTTTAATCATGAATCACATTAGCCTCGTCGAGATTCTCATGGATGTGGTAAGCTCTTTATAATAATACACCATCAAAAGAGTGTTAGCTTCTAAGCTCTAATTTCTGGGTTTTTGAATTGGAATTCAGCACCAGTGGTCAACTGTGTTTGCTGCCATAGTTCAAAGGCTTCTACTTTGGATGTTCTATCACAGGGATTGCAGGGAATAATGGAGCTCTTCAAGTGGGTAAGTTTTCAATAATACTTTCCAATTGCTAATTTACTCCATTTTTTGGTTACATTTCAATTCCTATGATGTTTAATTTCACAGATGACAGCTGAATTCCAAGTTCCTTCACCACTTGTTCCCACTCGTGAGATTATTACGTAAGATACTGCAAACAACATGCAGAAGGAACATGGGCTGTAGTTGATGTTTCATTGGATCATTTACGCCCTAATCCGACAGTGAGATGCCGACGAAGACCATCTGGATGCTTGATTGAAGAAATGCCCAACGGGTACTCAAAGGTTACATGATTGAACATGTCGAAGTCGACGATAGAGGCGTACACGATCTGTACAAGCAGCTAGTAAGTTCAGGTCATGCTTTTGGAGCCCGACGTTGGATTGCTACATTGGACCGACAATGCGAGAGGCTCGCAAGTCTCATGGCTACTAACATTCCTATGTTGACGCTGGGGGTAATGCTAATCATATAATGCTACAACCAAATTTAAAATCTATGAATAAGTATAAATATGGAATGCTAATTGTTAATGTTGTGATATTGGTTAGTGATACAAATCAAGATGGGAGGAAGAGCATGCTGAAGCTAGCTGATCGTATGGTGATCAGTTTCTGTGCCGGGGTGAGTGCCTCAACCGCTCACACATGGACCACTATCAGAACCGGGGCCGATGTAAGGGTAATGACCCGAAAGAGTGTCGATGATCCCGGCAGACCTCCCGGGATTGTGCTAAGTGCTGCAACTTCCTTCTGGCTTCCTGTTTCACCAAAGAGGGTATTCGATTTCCTCAGAGACGAGAATTCTAGAAATGAGGTACTACAATCCTTTTAAAGGAACTTATATATATATAAATATGGTTTTGCATATATACATGTTGGTCTCTCCTGGATGCAGTGGGACATTCTTTCTAATGGCGGAGTTGTCCAAGAAATGGCGATTTCCTCAGAGACGAGAATTCTAGAAATGAGGTACTACAATCCTTTTAAAGGAACTTATATATATATAAATATGGTTTTGCATATAGTACATGTTGGTCTCTCCTGGATGCAGTGGGACATTCTTTCTAATGGCGGAGTTGTCCAAGAAATGGCTCACATTGCTAATGGAAGAGATACAGGCAATTGTGTTTCACTACTTCGAGTCAATGTAAGTCGATCTTTGATTAAATTTATCCATATTCTAGGGATTTTCACTTAGAATATTATTACCTTAATCTTCAAAATGTATGGAATAATTATATGCAGAGTGCAAATTCAAGCCAAACCAACATGCTGATTCTACAAGAGAGTTGCACTGATGCAACATCTTCGTTTGTAATCTATGCTCCGGTCGACATTGTCTCAATGAATGTGGTTTTAAATGGTGGCGACCCCGACTACGTTGCTCTTCTTCCCTCGGGTTTCGCTATTCTCCCCGGTGGAACTTCTGGTGTGACAGATGCCATTAGTGGCTCCGGTGGATCGCTTCTGACTGTTGCGTTTCAGATTTTGGTGGACTCGGTTCCTACGGCGAAACTCTCTCGGATCGGTTGCAACAGTTAACAACTTGATCGCTTGCACCGTCGAGAGGATAAAGGCTTCCCTTTCATGCGAGAACGCATGAACTACCAGAAGCTTTATAATTTAGCTAGCAAGGTACGTTAACTAAAAATTACGACCGGTTTACTTCCAGACATTCGAGATATCCATTATTTGATTTTGTCTTTCTTCTTTTCTGATGCAGTGAGTAACAGAAGGAAAAAGGGGGAATGTACTTAAATTTAAGAAGAATTTTGGAACTATTGAAGATGGGGGAGAAGTCAAGAGCGCACCTTGCATGAACGTTTTGTTTGGTTGCTTAGAAATTAAGCTGACCCAACCAAAATTCATCAAGTGTTCAAGAGTTAAGAGGTTCGGGAATTGACTTTCCCAAGAAAAAAAAATATTATTTTCCTAAGTGAATGCAAATGACTTTTATGTGTTTTAATTACAAGTAAACAAGGATTGTACTTCCCTTTATGTCTTGTAATTTTCTAGCAGACAATTCCTTTTCTTTTATCCATTTTAAGAGACTTTTTAAATGGATTTGCTTCTAATATCCCTACATCTCTTTGTTTATTGATATCCGTGATAAAAAAAAGAGTTATTTTCTTTAAAAATTTGAGTTCGAATAGTTATGTTTGTAAGTTGTGCATGCGTTATCAATAATTAAAAAAATTAAAATATATCTTATAATCACATACACGAATTAAAAGGACAATTAAATTCCTCTATGAAGACTCTTAACGCATCCATCTTTGACATGTTAGTATCATAAGAATTATTGCACAATAGTAATGCTTCCAACACATTAATGCAAAGATGGCTTCAGGTATACAATTGTCTGCCTGCAAAAACGTAAAATAAAAACAATGAAACATGATTTTATGTTGTTTTCGACATAAATACAACTCTCTAAATATTAATTACATGTTTTTTATTTCATCGTTTCATTAACTACTTTGTTATTGCAAGCTTTTGCTGACATTTCCGACAACCAATAACATTTATATTACTCTCATTGTTGTGTCCCATGTAATATAATTAATGAAATGCAAGAAACATAATTATTTTCGAGTGTACTTTCTTTATATATATATATATATATTTAATGATGGATAATTTTTAAACTTAAATGCGCATCCTTCATTTGTCAATTAGTTTGATTATCCAAGTAAAAGTCTGCATAAGTGACTTCAATAACCTATAGGGAAAGGTATGAACGTAAATATATATTAAAGGGATGATATCGATACTTTTTATATTAAAATATTGAAAAAAAAGTGTGGAAATTGTGCTTGTAAGTGCTCTAAACATGTCTACTCTCTCATTCATATATTCAAATATACAGGGAGAGACATACTCTTTAACTCTACTAAAATTTTCAGACGTTGCGAAAAAAACTGGGTTGGAGGGTCGTTCTCGCCTCTGCAGTACATGATCTGGATTAATCGGTCAATAGATCGAATACCAGTGATTAATTCAAAAAAATACTTTATCTCATACTATTAAAATAAAGTTTATACGAAAATTTATCATATTAAAAATCAATGATCCATAAGTATAATTTAGAAAAAGAAAAATGAAAAAATAGCCAATGCATTAATTATCCCTCATAAATCAAACAATTTAAAGTAAACATTTTATTTTAAAAATAGTACAAATTTAAGGTAAAACTTTGTGAACATGACAAAGAAACACTTATGTACCATTAGGTTGATAATACATTTGTAAATTTTGTACTTGGAAATTTCAATCCTTATTGAGCTTGCCTTGTGTACATTGACTAAAACAGAGTAATATCCCAATTATTGTTTCAACGAAGAAGACGATGATCATTCGAAAATCATTAAGTTAATTAGGATGACGCAAGATTTTATATTAAGAGTTTGAACTTATAAAATTTTCAAAGGAAAATTGTATCCAACGGTCTCTTTTGATCCATCCCTGACCTCAAGCCCTCTTTTTCATAGCCGAAGCCGGTGGTCCGTTGGCAAAAGAAGCCTTGGTCGACGGCAAAAGCAGCCCTCGCAACACAGCAAGGAAGCCGAGTGCGATGAAAGGCGAGTACATCATCGCCAGTTTATCAGCCATTGGCTTCTGGGATCCAAGCATGTCTCCCACCATAGCCGTCTGAAAATTTTAGTAGAGTTGAACAAAGTGTAATTAGAAGAATTGAGCTTTAAAAAAACAAAGGGTCTGAAAACGAGACCGAGTTTGAGATTAAATTACCGTGGAGGTAAGAAGAGCGGAACCGAAGATGAGGCAGGTGGATTTGAACCAAGGCTTGGAGTTCAAGCCATAAAGGTTGATGATAGCCAGCGGCCACGTGAAAATAAGCTCGAGCTTCATGAGTGCCATGAAAAAAGCAGGCTGCTCCAGCAGCAAAATCTTGGTGTTCGATCGTATACAATTTGAACAAACGAACCAGGACGTCCGGGACGACAGACTCCGGCAAAAGATGGGCGTCCAACAACGGTGGCACCAACGAAACGGACAAGAATGTTAGCAACAGAATCGCATCCACCACTTTTCCTATGAATCCCATCTTCTTTCTTTTTCCAGCTATGGTGATCCACTCTTCTTCTCCTGCAAAGCTTTACGATTGATTCGATGTATTAATATTTGATTAGGTGAACAGCGCCACGTTTGACGACACCAATAAAAAATTCATTCTGATATGAGTGGAATTGTTTTTCGTTTTCGGCGGCTCCGTTGCAATCAAAATACTTGTCAATTTTGATTTCTTCCTCCTATTTTTTGACTTCTACAAAATACAAGTCTACAAAATTATGGTTGGAACCTTGTGGAATCAGTCCTCGAATCATGGCTAAGGCTCCCACTCCCATGAATACTGCATGCGTTTGCACCAACTTCTCTGATGCCTTCTGCGATCCAATCAGCTCTCCTAGTACTGCCGTCTGAATTTAACCAAAACTTAACAAATTACATAATATTTGAAGAGTGACAACAAAAACTATGAAAAGTTTTGGTCATGTAACCAAAACTTAACAAGCAAGAATTTTCGGGAAGAAAGTGGCAGCTTCAATTAGTCGGTTACTAACTTTATATATATGTGTTTAAGTTAGATTGTTAATGTATGTTATACGAGTGAAAAAAAATTGAGAGATAAGTTGTGAAGCTAAGCAAATTGAATAGCGGGGTTGTGTTTGTAAACTAGCCGTAGCTAGTGTTTGTATCGTTTTTGTATTTTGGTTCGTATTAATAATAGCATGCGAATTATAAAACCCACCGAGTGCCCACCTACACTTCCAACAAGTGGTATCTAGAGTTTGATTCGAGTTTACGCAACGATAACATGGCCAATATGATTCAACCACAAATCCTGAGATTGACAAAGACGAATTATGACAATTGGAATATTCAAATGAAGGCATTATTAGGTTCCCAAGATTGTTGGATGTCGTCGAAGAAAGTTACACCGAAACCGAAAATGGAGCAGCAAATGCAACCATGACCAATGAAGAAAGATGGTATTGAAGGAATCCCGAAAAAAAGATAAAAGAACGTTGTTATTTTTCAAGGAGAATATGAATCTACATTTGAAAAAATTTCCAATGCGAAGACCGTAAAAACAAGCGTGTGAGATTTTACAAAAATCTCTCTAAGGTGCCGAAAAAAACACAAAAAAAAAATGTTACAATTTCTTAGAGCTGAGTTTGAAATGTTAAAAATGAAAAAAAAAAAAACGAAAAACGTCGATGATACATTAGTTGTGTAAAAGTGATAGTAAATGAAATGCAAAGAAATGGTGAATCACTCGACGAGGTTAGAGCGATGAAAAAATTTGATTACGTGGTCGTGGCAATTGAAAAATCGAAAGATTTATCTCAAATTTCAATCGATGAGCTTGTGGGTTCACTCCAAGCCCACGAGCAGAAGATGAAGCAAAATAAAATACTGCAAATTTAGAACAAGTCTTGCAAAGCAAGATGAATTTCAATTAAGGAGAAGCTAGCAGTAGCTACACACAAGGTCGAGAAAATCGTGGTGGTTATCGTGGAATATACAAAGGATGACGAGGAGCACGAGGACGGGTGGTCGACCATATGACACCACTCAAACAAGTGAAAATTACCATACATCAAGATGTGGACAAGGGTTTAGAGGTCGAGGTCAATGCAGATATCAACAAGGAAATAAATCACATGTACAATATTATAATTGCAAAAAGCATGGTCACATATGAATAAGATAAAATGGAAAATCTCATATATTTTCACTTACAAAGTAAATGAAGAATTCAGGAAATATTTGGTATCTTGATAATTGTGCTAGCAACCACATGTGTTATTGAAATGAATTGTTCGTGAAGTTAGATGAAACAATCCATGGTTGAGTATCTTTTGCTGATGACTTGCACGCAGATGTCAAAGGAAAAGGCGAAGTATGATTACTCAGAAAAATGGTGAAAAAAGTACATCTCAGATGTTATTATGTACCTACTTTAAAAAAACTATATCATCAGTCTTAGTCAACTCTTGAAAAAATGATATGAAGTATAGATGAAAAATCGCTCACTTGCCATCAAAAATAAAGAAGGAAAATTGATTTGTTCAGGTTGATATGACTAAGAATCGCCTCTTTACCATCGATATGAGATAGGTGAAGTTAGATGCATGTAGAATGTGATTAAAGATTCATGGTTGTGATCTATGATATAAACATCTTGGATTTTTGGGCTAGAAGCTATTATCGAAAACAAGTATGGTGAAAGGACTAGGACTGTAAATGAGACGAGACAGATCGTGAGCTACTCGAGATCGACTTGAGATTGACGGTCAAGGCTCGATAAATACTCGGATCGAATGTACTCGGATCGAATGTACTCGACTCGAGCTCGACTCGAATTCTTAACGAGCCAAAACGAGCTACTTGATACTCGACTCGAAAAGCTCGTGAGCAGCTCGAAAATATAATATATAAGATTTATTTTTAAAAAAATAAATTATTAATATTAACATTTAAGTGTTGCTTTTTTTAAAATATACAGTAAGACTTTTAAGTATTTAAGGTTCAGGTTCGAGTTCGAGTTTGAGGCTTCAATTTAGTTAAGTTTAAGAATTTTTTTATTTCGAGGCTTTTTGAGCTGCTCACGAGCTTCAATTCATGATTTCAAGTTCGAGCCGAGCTTAAAAATTTTAAGCTCGAGTTTTCGAGTCGAGTCGAGCTGCATTACAGAGTTTCGAGTCGAGTCAAGCTCAGCGATACTCGAGCTCGACTTGGCTCGTTTACACACCTAGAAAGGACTGCTAGAGATTAGCCCTCCAAATTAATTATGTGAGGTCTGCATTAAAGTAAAGAAACACAGATAAAGCGTTGAAGTTAGTACATCATGGCGTGCCCCAAGACCGTTGGAGGTACTACACAGATATAGCTTGTCCTTAGACATCTCATCGCTTGGCGGTAACAGATATTACCTAACTTTTATGATGATTTTAGTAGAAAATGTTGGATTTATATCTTGAAAAAAAAATAGAAGCGTTGGAAAAATTAAAAGAATTTGAAGCAATGATGGAAAAAAATAACCAATATTTAAAAATACTCAGATCAAATAGAGGAAGTGAGTATACATCAATTTATTTAAGGAATTTTGTAAATATCAAACAGTGAAATAGGATTAAATGATATATTTTAAAAAAATATTTAAAAAATATTTATGTTTGAATCATAATATCATGAATATAATAAATTAAATTAAAAGAATCATTCTATAATAAATTACGTAGTATTCAAAATCAAAACAATTTGACAAAGAGATGAAAAGAAAAAGAATTAGGATTAAATTGACAAATATTATAAACAGTAAGGACTGAATTTATTAGTTTTTTCATTAAGCTAACATTATTACATTGTTGTATGACACAAATTGAGGCCAATGTTCTTTTTTTTTTCCCCATTTCTACCTAAAAAAGTTGTGTCTGAAAATTGAAAATAAGCCTAAGCGATGGAGTACTAATCGTTGGTTATGAATTTGTATGAATCTATAATATAAACACAGAAAAAAGGAAGATTGAAGCTCCAACAGATCAAATCAAAACTGTTTTTTTTTCTCTTTTTTTTTGTCCTAAGAAGGGTGAACTTGTTTGACCATCTGAGAAACTTTGGTTGTTCTGTTGTTTGCTCTCGTTACTGTTCTTTCTCTTCAATATCCTTAATCTCCGCTTCTTTCTTATCTACAAAGTCAATTATCTGCTTAAAGCTCGTCGAGCGGATGGATCGTCGACTCGACCTCGAAGGTTCGATCGCCTCCACCTTGCTTTCCTCGTCTTCGGGCTGAATCTGCGTACTGAGTGAAGACTCTATAGAAGAATATGATAAGAGCCAATACACAAGCAATGCCACAATGAGGAACAGGCCCCAAAAGCTGTTAAGGGAGAGTTGGTTCTCATCAACTTGATTGACTTGCGACGAGCACTCGCCGTGCGTCAGCCATTTGTTATGTATTTTTGGAGATCACCGTTCTCGGAGAGTTGGAGGATCGCAGTCGACATGTCAACTGCTAGAGGGGAGTCCCTTTGGAAAGCCTGAAACCAGGAAGAGCGAATGACAACTACATCGGATTACATTTCGGAAGCGAAAATTAGAGTTGCAGTGACGTAAAATCAACATTAGAAGTTTAGTGTTGATACTTACGAAGCCCCATCCGCTCTTTGTGAACTCCGGGCCAACTATCTTGTATAAACAATTGGTGGTCGATAAGAAGAGTTCAATGTAAGGAAGTTCATCCACAATGGCAGCTACTCCGCCATTCTTCGGTCCAAGCTTAAGGGCCCTGAGATGCTTCTGGATTTTTTAACTTAACTATCCTAGATTGTGCTATATTGAGCTCGTCAACCAAATAGTTCAATGCAAATGAACCGTCTTGGATTCCGATAGGTTCGGTACCGAGATCAAGCTATCGATCCCTTGAATCCTGACGTTAGCTGCTGCACGGTAAGTATCGATGTCAAACTAGCAGTGTAACTCGAGTTAATAATCAGAACTACAAATAGCCATATGATCAACACCAATCGTCCCAAAGTGCCACGTGTTTTCTCCTGCAATAAGCCGAAGCAAAAAAGGATATAAGAGATTCTAGCACTGAGTTTTGTTGAAGGCTTGAAACATTACAGATAATAACATAAACAGAAGCCAGAGGGCTATAATAGTTTACTTACTGTGGGAGAAAAAAACATCGTCGAGAAGCTAAACCTGGAATCAGAGAAAAATATGTAACAAAGTCACTATGATATGCATCTAGAGAGCTAGAAAGTAACTCTAATAAACAGTGACCGTGCCGTTCACAACAAATCCGATCCTAGTGTTGCAGCCTCAGTGAACATGAACGAAACCATGAAATGCACACTAGTATGATGGAGCATATATTGAAAAGAGGATTGCCTATGATGTAAATAGACTAACCAGCAAGTTGTTATAAGCTGTTGCCTGGGAGGACCACGGAATTCATGGTTTACCCGGTGCTCCAGAATCCACACTACAGCTCCACGAAGAGAAAGAATGCGGCAGTGACGAACCACATTTCTCTAGTAAATGGCTTGAGGAAAGCCCAAGGGTTTGACTTGGCCTCTTTCACTGGCACAACAACAACGAGTCCGGATTCCATATATGGCTGCGTAAAGTCCACGATCTTTGTCCTGTTCGTTACAATCGTAATATCCCCAACTGCAGCATCATATACCTAAAGAAGAAAGCGGCAAGTCAAGATAGTTACTAGAACATCGATTTTGAGCAGAGGACTTAAAGCTTCAAACCTTCGCACAAGACCAGATTAGTAAATGCAAAGGCCTACCAGCTAAGCTATACAGTTAAAGCAGATACTTACATTTGAGAAACCTTGTAGACAATGTCATCGTAGCTCGGATTTCTTTTACCATCTCCGAATAACATATATGTGTGAGGGACAGCATATGGGAGCAAGCTTATCGCAGCTTCAAGACATCAATGCAGAATCCTCTAACACCCTGAGGACTCTTGTCTTTCGACGCAAACTCTTTAAACCTACTCGGTTGGGTACAGCGATTCGCAGAGGCTGCCCATTGTTAGGGAATACCCATCCCCTTGGCGTTGCAGTAGTATCACCAGGCCATATTACACTGTAAAGATGTTGACTGCCAGTAGAGTTGGGGGGGTTTCGATATAAGGTCTCTGGGGGAACAACCGAGAGGTGAGAATAATTCGACCAATAACCAATTCTACGCGTCCGGTCCTAAACATTAAGAACATCATATGCAGGATGAACTAAATGTTTATCCGGATTAAAACTCAATCTGACCGCTTAGACCAGTGAAGTTCATCCTCAGAAGTGTTTGACGAAGTTGTTCGCCACCATTAAACACACGAAGAGATGCTAATGCAGCATGCTGCCATTTGTATCATGCAAATTCGGTCATAAGAGAAAGATATATTTCCACCTTCATTAGAAAAACCTCGAGGGCGTGCGCAGCAACCAAACGGAAATAAGCATAAAGTGCATACGAATTGAAACCTGCAGAACCGACTCCCTTCCCTTAGACATAAAACTCTTCTTAAGATTAGTATCAGGGGTGTAATGGCGGAGAGCGACAACCCTTGCAAAGATTCGTTATTTCGGAATCAACTGATTGCATCGAATCCAAGTATGAAGGAAGCCAATCCGTAGCAATCCAAAACATAGCCATCATCCATCATATTAAGAGACTTAGCAACAGAAAGATATTCACACCAGTGTCTGGATTAACATGAACTACATAAACTCGAGACTCCATCAGGTTAACCTCAACAAGCAAGTCAGTAATCTTACTTTCACTATCCCGGGCTGAAGGCGGTCTTATACGAAACCTTGGCACGCTTTTTCGCCAAGGCATCGCCCAAAACAGACACCCCACTTCTCCATAATCATCATCCACAAATATGGCTATCACTTCCTTCCAGCCGTAGTATTCAACTATATCCGCAATGGCATACATCTGGAAGTAATCACTGTGAGTAGTACGGAGGAAATACGGATACTGCATGGACGAAAGAGTCGGATCCGTAGCTCCGAATGAAGAAGCGGGACAGAAGCTCATTAACAACATGGGAGATAACATGAGCTATTCCGGACGATTGTGGACCAATTGCAACCACAATATCACTTTCCATTAACTGCAAAGCTACACAAAACAAGACCAACAGACTAATGTTCAGTAATCATCAATAAATCATCAGTACCAGACATTTTAGGCACAAATTGAAGGATATATAAGAAAAACATACCTTCAATGGTTCCGAAAAATCCACTGCAATTTGTGTCGCGGACAACGAGTTTCAATTGAATCCCATTAAGAATGTTGGGTTGGAGTTGACATCATCAATGGCAGCTTTAATTGCAGGCTTTGCTGCTTGTCCAATGACTGAATTCAATGTGAACAAAGCTCCAATATTTATAACTTTGGCTTCAAAGAAGATGAATTTGAAGAAGCTGAGACATCCCAGTGCTGCAGATGACTAAAAGAGGGATGCATAGGAACCAAAGACTCAACAAATCAAAATGCTCTGATGAATCCGGGAATCAACAAGACCTCCTTCATGTCTGAAACTAGACAAAATCTAAACTTCCTGTCTCAAATTATCATGAATTCAAGATTCAACCACCACCTGCCAACAAAGGTAAGAAGAAACATGAAAAAGAAGCAATCAAGAAGAAATCCATGCAATTCTAAGGATGAAACCAACATGGGTTTACTAAAATTGTCAAATAACAATTACAAAGAAGGATGATAAGAACAGCAGTAGGTTTTTTGCGAAAAAAATATTCAGAAAACCCATGCTTTTTTTAAAAAAACACTTACAAGGTCCAAAGCCCGCAATTGATGGTACAGCTCAAGAAAAATGTCAATTTTACCAGAAAATAAAACCTTGGGTTTAACAGAATTATATTGATGCTGTATAGAATTTATAATATACAAGTGCTGAAACTGTCATGGAAAACCAGCACATGCAAGAGCCAATCAGCTGACAGAAAAAAGAAAACAAAAATATATATAGAAGGAAAGGAGAAATTGCAGGTTGAATCACCTTCTTAACAAAAGTGTTGTTAAGGATGCAATTAAAAATATATGAAGGAAAGGATAAATTTTTCTTAACAAAAGTTTGTTAAAGGATCTAATTAATATATATATATATATATATATATGAAGTTGCCATAAACATATCAAAAATATATATGAAGAAAGGATAAATTTCTTCTTAACAAAAGTTTTGTTAAAGGATCTAATTAATATATATATATATATATATATATATATGAGTTGCCATTAACATATCACTCAAAGCTTTCAGAAACAGTTTTGAAGGGTTAAGTAAGGCATATGATTCCCTGCCTTTACCATTGGGTAATATCTTGGCCTTTTTTGTTTTTCTATATTATATCTTGGCCTTTCAATGCATAGTATTTGCAAAGTTATTTATTTTGTTGTTTATATATTAAATAAAAAGGTATATGTATTTAGTCACCCACCCATTTTGATCATCTAATTTTTTTTAAAAATCATACTTAGTGCTATGTTTTATTCTATTTTGGTCACGTTGAAAAAATTAGGATAAACTATACGTTTAGTATCTCACTATCTCTTTTATTATGTTTTGGTCACTCGATTATTTTTTGTTTCAAAATCATTCCTAACGTTACTTTTTGATTTTATTTTAGTTACTCACTGTTTAAAAATTAGTAGTGATGCTAACGGTCATCATAAAGTAATGTCACACATCATTGAAAATAATAAAAAAATATATGTTAGCAGTTGTATTAATTTTTTAATGGCGGGCGACCCAAATGAAACTAAAATGTAAAGTTAGATTTAGGTATGATTTTGAAAAAATAATAGTTATGTGACTAAAATAAAATAAAAGTGATAGTTGGGGGATACTAAACATATAATTTACCCAAAAATTAACGATGATACTAATATTTTACCATAAGATAATATCAAGTTATCATTAAAAAATTACCACATTATTAGTTTTGTTTATTTTTTAACGACATGTGACCAAAACAGAATAAAACCGTAATGACATGTCTGATTTAAAAAAATAGGTGGATGACTAAATACAAATTTACCCAATAAAAAAGTTATTAAGCGTGAAGAATCTTTGCCACAATCACTGGTTTAAGTCATGTCGGATTCTTGCGATAGATCTGGGTAGTTCTACGGTGCGACGCCTAAAAAATGGCTAATATACAGCGTGATCGGTTAAATAAGTGATTGGTTAAAATTTGGACCGGTTATGTTATATTATTTAACCGGAAATATTATAAATTACAATAACATACTAGGTAGTGCTTATATAATGTAATAGGTAGCGCTTATATTTACCTATTTTCTAAGTAAACCGGTATATTTATACCGATAGTATTGTAAATTTACCTATTTTATTATAATATGTTGAAAGTGTCCATACTTTTTATAAAAATGATCGATACGTTTTTTAAAGTTATATAATTTATGTTTCAATTTTTTTAAGTATGTTTCATGTTTTCCACCTACAATATTAATTTAATAATTTCATTTGCACAAAAAATTATTTGATTGTTTTGATATTTTATAAAATAATATTTAAAATTTAAATTTAACAATATTAACCAAAAATAATAATAAATATGTAATATATATGTTTATTGTTTTTAATTTAATAATAATATATATCGTAACGTAACGTAAAAAATAAATCATTAGACGCCTATAATTACTAAATTAATATCTTAAAACTCACTCAAAAGATAACCTTAAATTAATGTTTTCCACAGTAAAAAGTATAGACACTTTATAAAAAGGATAGATACTTTACATATAACCACTACCTATTACATTATATAAACGATACCTATTACATTATATAAGCGCTACCTATTACATCATATTTTTACCTATTATATTGAAAGTGTCCATACTTTTTATAAAAAGGATCGATACTTGTTTAAAGTTATGTAATTTATGTTTCATTTTTTTTAATAGTGTTTCATGTTTTTCCACCTACAATATTAATTTAATAATTTCATTTGCACAAAAAATTATTTGATTGTTTTGATATTTTATAAAATAATATTTAGAATTTAAATTTAACAATATAACCAAAGATAATAATAATATGTAATATATATGTTTATTTTTTTTTAATTTAATATAATATATATCGTAACGTAAAAAATAAATCATTAGACGCCTATAATTACTAAATTAATATCTTAAAACTCACTCAAAGATAACCTTAAATTATGTTTTTTCACAGTAAAAAAAGTATAGACACTTTTATAAAAGGATAGATACTTTACATATAACCACTAACCTATTACATTATAAACGATACCTATTACATTATATAAGCGCTACCTATTACATCATATTTTTACCTATTATATTGAAAGTGTCCATACTTTTTATAAAAAGGATCGATACTTTGTTTAAAGTTAGTAATTTATGTTTCAATTTTTTTAATAGTGTTTCATGTTTTTCACCTACAATATTAATTTAATAATTTCATTTGTACAAAAAATTATTTGATTGTTTTGATATTTTATAAAATAATATTTAGATTTAATTAACAATATTAACCAAAGATAATATAATATGTAATATATATGTTTATTGTTTTAATTTAATAATAATATATCGTAACGTAAAAAATAATCATTAGACGCCTATAATTACTAATTAATATCTTAAAACTCACTCAAAAGATAACCTTAAATTATGTTTTCTACAGTGAAAAATATACACTTTTATAAAAAGGATAGATACTTTACATATAACCACTACCTATTACATTATATAAACGATACCTATTACATTATATAAGCGCTACATATTACATCATATTTTTACCTATTATATTGAAAGTGTCCATACTTTTTATAAAAATGATCGATACTTTGTTAAGTTTGTAATTTATGTTTCAATTTTTTTAATAGTGTTTCATGTTTTCCACCTACAATATAATTTAATAATTTCATTTGCACAAAAAATTATTTGATTGTTTTGTTGTTTTATAAAATAATATTTAGAATTAAATTACAATATTAACCAAAGATAATAATAAATATGTAATATATATGTTTATTGTTTTAAATTTAATAATAATATATATCGTAACGTAAAAAATAAATCATTAGAAACTCACTCAAAAGATGTATATACCTAAATATGTAGTTATTGTACATACCTAAATTTAATGATAATATATACTTGTAGTTATTGTACATACCTAAATATGTACTGCGAATTTAATGTTTACCCACCCTTTAACTACCACTACCAATGCCACATCCTATCGAAAGCAGCACGACTGAAACATGTTCAAAATGAACATTTGCTTACATCTCCATCAACTCCTGGAGCACTGAACTTGCACAACAAAATTTTTGCCATGGATAATATTGATGTAGACAATGTTAAGGCCAACCGAGAATGCCATGAAGTACATAATGTTGATGAATCTGACAGATTGGTTGGTCAGCTCTTCTGTTCACGTGATCAAGCTTGGTACTTTTACAAGGATTCCCACGGGAACATGGTTTAGTGCACGTAAGGGAACAACACGGCTTGACGTGGAAGGAATGTGAAGACACAAGAATTTTGTTGTTCCAAAGAAGGGTTTCGAGTATCAAAAGTCAATACTGTTGATCGTCAACGTGCTCATACGCCAGTCACAAGAACAGGATGTAAGGCTAGAGTCGTAGTTACAGCAACAAATACAAACGATCAGTGGGTTATAAGTAAGTCTGATCAGAAACATAATCATGCATTGTGCACACCTGCTATGACACCATTTATGCGTTCTAATAGAGCTGTAAGTAAGGCTGATATCGATGAGGCAACACATTGAAAGAGGTCGGTGTTGGCACGTCACAAGTAATGAACTATTTAACGCAGCAGGCAGGGGCTATCATAATGTTGGATTTACACATAAAGACCTCTACAATGCACTCCAAAGAGGTAAAGCAAAGGAAATCGTCGATGGGGATGTGAATGCGCTTATTGCCTACTTTGATTATAAGAAACATGATGATCCCCCGGTTTTTTATGACATACTCGTAGACGAATCGGGGGCATTGTATAATCTTATTTGGTCGGATTCTACATCGAGATCGGATTACACATGCTTCGGTGAGTAATTGCGTTCGACACAACGTACAAGATAATTTGTATGGTCGACCAATTATGCCTATTGTGGTGTCAATCATCACCATAACACAATTGTGTTTGCCACTGCCATAATCGCTGACGAGACGTCTCAATCTTTCGAGTGGGTGCTACAGATTTTTTAGAAGCCATGATGAATAATCACCTATTTCCGTTATAACCGATGGGGATAGGGCAATACAGAGGGCTATCAAATCTGTTATCCCTTATGCTAAGCACAGATTATGTTCTTGGCATCTTTCTCACAATGCACAAGCTAACATTGGTGACCCAAAGTTTACAGCAGCATTCTCAAAATGCATGGCTTCCTGGTGGACAACCAAGGAATTTGATTTTCAATGGCATTCGGTTGTTTCAGAATTCAACGTCCAAAAGCATCCATGGGTGATTGAGAAGGAAATACACACTTATGGGCACAAGCATATCTAACCGGTCATTTCTTTGCCAATATTCGCTCAACACAAAGGTGCGAGTCTATGAATGCTTCACTAGCCATTGCACTGAAACAAGACATATTTAGATTGTTCGTGCAATTGAAGATGGAATTAGTAGAATGCGTATGAACGAGTTGAAAGCGGATTACTTAAGTTCCCATACGACGCCCTTCCAGATCACAAACTGGTCGACCTTGAAAGCCATGCCGCTGCGATTTTTACCCCGCGAATCTTTTCGTGTGTTCCAAGATGAACTTATACGGAGTCATTGTACCGGATTGAGGCAGAGATTAAGTCCTTATCAGATGAATGTCACCACTTCACCCCTCAACACCTCTCTTCTTTCACCACTCCATCTATTTTTCCTTCCACTACC